CTGCACAAAAATTCCAGTGTGTTTTACAGCCTTCGAGTGATTCGCTGTTCATCTGCGTTTTTGGTACTGATACACTGGTGAGTTAAATCGTTCTATCCTGGGAGGATATATTCCAGAACCTCGGGTACTTCAGGGGAATAATTTTCTTAAGGACACACTGTGTATTCAGTGGGCTCGATTTATTCCTACACTATTTTCAAAATTTATTTTAAAGTTACTATACTGTTTTCAGAATTTATTTTGACGTTCTAATTTACTAACTTTCTGTTTCTATTTTTCAGAAAGTTTATTGTTTTATTAATTTAAAGCAATACAGTTTTGATAACAGCTACTAGTTGTTAACTATTTATAGTTTGGAGATATCCCAGTGTATACCAATTGTGTTTCCGAAATTAGAATGGCCAAAGGGTCAACTGTGGCCATAAAAGGTTGATTTTATATTTGCATTTGTTATTATTTTCACTGTTTACGTACTTTTTCCGGTCAACATCTCATAAATAAATAGGTCCGATTTCATTTAATTACCTTTCCCAAAATAATTTACAGTTCAGCATGTACTAAAAGTTCCTCTTTTGTGTTATTTTTATTCCAAAGGACCAAATGGAGCAGCAAAGCAAAATTGAGAAGAAGTTCGGAAATAGCCAGATTTACAAGTGATAATTGGAAAATAGCTACAATTTTAACAATAATTGTAATTTAGCCACTTTTCATGTAAAGATAAATCTGAATGAAAATACTGTTCAAATCCGAAAAATATTCTAGCATAATATACTGGAATGCCAGTATATTATACTTGTCACGCCCCAAACCCCGATCGTGATGGCGCCCAACACATTGCTAGGCAAGCCCGACCATTTACACAACCTTAGCCAATTAATCTCAATAGATAAATAAATATTCACTACTAAAATTCCAATGAAATGCGGAAATTCTGATATAGTCTCTAACATTCGAAAACCCCAGAATTAAATACTAAAATACTAATCAACCCACAGAATCTAGTGTCACGAACATGAGCCTCTAAAAACAGATTATTCATCTATTACAAGTCTGTCTAGGAAAAAGGCGATAAAAAGGATAAAATAGATGAGAGATCGGGGCTGCGAACGCCATGCAGCTACCTCGATACTCCCGGATGAATGCTGCTCAGCTAAACAAGTCCTCACTCACCCTGTGGTGTACCTGGATCTGCACACAAGGTGCAGGAAGTATTGTGAGTACTTCCAACCCAGAAAGTAATAAACATAAATAAGGGTTGAGAGTAAGAAATCCTGGACAGGCACAGAGTAAGCTATAATTACAGCAGCTCAATCTAAATAATATCCACTCAATAAAATAATGAAAATAATTATAGAAATATCACAACAGATAAATAAGTAAGTGGCAATCAAGTATGCAATGTGTTTAAACCGGTACCTCCAGTACCCCGCTGCGGCCGTGCAACCCGCTCCATTTATTTAACGTCGACGACGCTCACTGGGGGTGTGCAGACTCCGGGAGGGGCCCCTTACGGCCCAAGCGCAATAATAAGCCATCTCGTGGCATCAAACAGGCCCTTGGCCTCATATCATTATCATTATCATACCACTGCGGCGTGCAGCCCGATCCAATAATTAGTCCAAAATCACATAAGCCTTTCGGCACAATAGTATTGAAATATTCTGCCCAAACTTCATTTAAAAATATTAATTTAGTTTCTGCTTTAAGAAAAATGGCTGAGTTTACAAAACAGTGTCAAACACCAGGACTGAGTTCAATATCTATAAATATGGTAAGAAACCAGTAAAAACAATCCCTGAAGGATTCAAGTAGTTGGCACGAAGCCCAATTATAACAATTAATTCATTTTTATAAGGATATTACAAATCTACAATCAATTAGGTAGTAATTTTATTAAACGGGACGGACCAAGTCACAATCCCCGACGGTGCTCTACCCCACGCCCGTTATCCGGCGTGCAAGTCACCTCACATAGCACTACGTTGTGCAAATTCGGGGTTTCAAACCCTCAACACAGCATTTACATTTATTACTAACCTCAAGCTGGCCAAAGTCCTAGCTTGCTATGCCCTTGCCTCTCGAATTTACCTCTCGTGCGTCGAATCTGACCAAAACCACAACGAATACGTCACAATATGCCAATGGGACAATACCCAATTGAAAACAATCGAAAAACATTGAAATTCCCGAAATTAGCAAAACCCGAGCCCCGGGCCCACTTCTCGAAAAATTACAAAATTCACATCAATGGATTCCTCATCTCGCCACGAGTTCATACATACCAAGAACTCCCAAATCCGACCTCAAAATGGCCCTTCAAATTCCTATTTAAAAATCCCAAAACTCAAGCCCTAGTTTCTTCAATTTTTGGCTTAATTTTCCATGAATTTCTAGACAAATTTCACAATATAATTGTGTTTTTAGTTCAAAAATCTTACCTCCAATCGATTCTCCTTGAATCCCTCTTCAATCTCCACCAAGAAGCTCTCAAAATGATCAACCATGGAGGAAAAATGACCCAAAATCGCGGAAATGAGCTTTTAAAACATTCTACCCAGCTCTATATTTTTCTTCTATGCGATCGCGGCCTCATGCACGCGATCGCGATGAGCAAATTCCCAAACCCCCAAAAATGTGCTATGCGAACGCGTCAGAGTTCATGCGATCGCAGTGACCATTTTCCCAGACTTATGCGATCGTAGCCATGCTAATGCGATCGCGAAGAGCAAAATCACAGGGCCCCAAAATCCTTCTATGCGATCGCGGCTTGACCCACGCGATCGCATTGACTTAAATCCTGCAACACCTGGAAATGAAAAACCTGCAACTTTTCAACCTCAAAACTAGCCCGTTAAACCATCCGAAACTCACTCGAGGCCCCCGGGACCTCAACCAAAAGTACCTACATGTCTTAAAACATTATCCAAACTTGTTCCAATCATCAAAACACCTCAACTAACACCAAAATCATCAAATTACATCGAATTCAAGCCTAAGTTCTTTAAAAACTTCCGAAACACGCATTCGATCAAAAACCCAACCGAAACACCTCCGAATGACCTGAAATTTTGCACACACATCCCAAATCACCTAACGAAGCTACTGCAACTCTCGGAATTCCATTCCGACCCTCGGATCAAAATCTCACCTATCAACCGGAATTCGCCAAAATACTAACTTCGCCAATTCAAGCCTAATTCTACACCGGACCTCCAAAATTACTTCCGATCACACCCTAAGTCACAAATCATCCCCCGAAGCTAACCGAATCGTCGGAATCTACATCCGAGCCTTCTAACTCATAGGTCAACATCCGGTTGACTTTTCCAAAACAAGCCTTCCTTAAAGAGACTAAGTGTCTCATTTCCTTCCAAAAATCAACCCAATTCAACTCGTTCACACAAGACACTAATAATGAAGCATAACGAAGCAGGAAATAGGGGAAACGGAGCGGTTTTCATGAGACGACGGGTCGGGTCGTCACAATACTGGAGTTCCAATATAATATACTGGACTTCTAGCATAATATACTGGAGCTCCAGTATAATATACCGGTCTAGCATAATATGCTGGAAGTTCATACACATGTGCACCAATCTCCAGTATATTATGCTGGAACTTTCCGTGTTGCAGCAAAATAGTGGCTATTTTTCAATGACTTGACAGACGCTGGCTATTTTTCAGTTATCAGTTCAAAAATTGGCTAGACCGTACTATTCAAGAATGTAAGACGTGGATTAATTTACTTCCGTAACAATTACTGATTCTTGATTACATATTTCAATTCTATTTCTCAACGGGAAATTTTCAATATTTGTGTTTATTAATAACAGCTAATGTATCTTTAAATAAACCTATCAATTATGTCAGCTAAAACGGTATTTAAACTGAAATTTGAGTGTTTTGTATTTTGCATCCTTCTATAGTTTTTGACTTAGCACCCTATCATTTGATAATTAATATCAACTGTGTACATTTGGCTATCAAATTTAAGCATATCATAGTATAACTCGCCAATTTGCCAGACTTAGGCAGGTTGGGTTGGACACATGTTCATCGGTAAGTCATTTTGGGTTAAAATTTAAACAACATATCATAATTTACAAAATTAATATTTTGAATTTAGTTTGTTTGAAATAATCATGATAAATAAAGAATTTTTTTATTAGTTTGATTTGGTAACTAAATAAATTATAAAAGAAGAAACAAATAAATGAAAAAAGTTAAAGTTAGACGGGCTTGATCCATTGTTTAGTACAAATTGGCCCGCTCGTTTTGACTCAAGCAAATATTGGATAAGTTATAACTCGATTCATTTATTGATTTAACTCATATTAACTCTCCTACATATAGCTACATATATCCGCTCATTTGACCCCTCTATATGTGTATGTGAATCCTTTATATCCAATTCTTTCAATTAAAGCACATTTCATTCTAGTACTATGCAAATTATGGAACTTAAAGCGCTAAATGGAACTTATTTCTCTTGTTTTTGTATTTGACTAGTTTTTTTTAAACTTCCGTTATCACTATTTAAATTTCAATGAGTAGTTTCTTTTCATAGACGTGAATCGATTAAGCCTGCAGATATGAGACACAAAATGGCTGCTTATCCTACTGCTTTATATATAGATTACATTATATTAACTTCATGCGTTTGTACACTAGTAATATTTGTAACTAACAAAATGAAATTGCTTTTTAACTGTAGTTAATGACTATTTTACGTATAAATAAGGCTCATGTTGTGCAAGTGTAATACCATGCGACTTATATTTAGAACTTTTATTAAGCTAGTTTTGGATATAAATTTCGTTGAAACCATAAAAAAGAGTTTTTGAAGTTGTGTTAAAATATTAATTTTGTGTGTGGACATGTATTTTATTTGAAAAAGAAAATTGAAGTTTTGTAAGTGGAAGAAAAAATTTTAATTTATTTTTCAAAAAAAATGATCAGAAATCTTCTGTTATGGCCAAACGGAAGTTAACACAGGCAAGTAATTCGAAATAAAATTTTAAGCCAGAAAAAGGAAAAAAATGTGCAAAGATTAACATATCTCTAATTCAGTATGGAGCTGGAGCCTAAGAATAAAAAGAAAAATTACTCCGTAGAATCAGGTGAAAGGACATCCATCAACAAAAATACCTTTGGCAGTAGGACAAGTAGCCAAATGACAATACTCTCCTCCAGTTCCCCACCAAGAAAAGTTAACATTCTCAAGACTAAGGCAGAAAAACAGAACCACTCCCATTAAAGCCACTCCTGCATCTAATGCTGCCGATAGCACATAATTATACCTCTGCCACCACTTCTTTCTATATCTGAAAATCACAAAATTGAACATTATTCCAAAGAAAATCCAGCTGTTGAAGTTCAATGTTGTTGCTGGTGGCATAGCTGCTGTTGCCCCTAAAAGTACTGGAATATTAATCAGTTTAATCCAACTTTGACTTGGGAATGTTTTGTGTAACACCCACACTAAAATTGGTGCCACTGCCCCTCCAACAAAGAACCAATTTAGGGCAATATAATCTCCCCAAAATATTCTCTTTGGTCCTACTAATCCCCAGATAACCGATGCATCAAAAAATACTCTATCGCTATTACATGTCCATGGACTATTTGGAGGAAGCAAGTCAGGTTGGCATATGTGTTTAATGCTATTAAGTAGCCACCACGCCACGCCCATATTGATCGTACCACCAAGTATGGTTCCAATTAGCTGGTTTGGGAAATAATAAAAGTTTTAGTCAGTCTCTTTATATAGTACTCCTTATTTGTCAAATGGATAGAGAATAAGAAAGTTGATACCTGAACAATGAACATTGATCTTGGAGGAACCTTCATATAATGACCAAGCTTAAAATCTTGGAGAAAGGAAACAGCTTGGCTCATACTCATATAGCCAAACGTCTTGAAGCACACATTGGCTATTGGATACCCTGGGATTATCATACCAATAATATATTCCGTGATCACATTTAGTCCTGGAGACTGTCATCCGAAGCAAAATTTTGTTTAGTAAACAAGAATGCATCAACAAAAGGAAATAAACATAACTTCAACTTTGTAATATAAGACTGACCATGTTTGTCGTGGCTGTTATGATGCTAATTGGTAGGGTAAATATTAAGGCAAGAAAGGCAGCAAGGAGAAGCCCCCACCACGAAAGCTGAACTTGATCTTTCATGAAAATACACAGAACAAGCGATAACGCCAATGAAAGTGCAAGGGTTATGTAAAACCACCAGTTCGGAATGTCCTTATATTTCATCATAAGCCTTGTGTGAATATCAGGCTTTCCTTTGAATGTGGCTCGGAATCTCTGATATATTTCCCTGTTTATCAGTACATTTCTCTTAATTAGCAGCACTAGTTTAATTCATGAGCTAAACCAATAGGAACCGTGCCTAAGCTGAATAATATTTGGACTTGTAGGGGGTTCCCTGTCTCCCTCTATATGTGTGTGTATAAGAGTTCCTTTTTCAAGTAATGCATAGGTTCTATTCTAGTTGGTTAAACAATTAGGAAAGCATTAACTATGCATATCTGAAAATAGCTAAGTCTTCCTACAACATCAATAAGAGTCCTGTTCATTCTATATATATGTGCCAATTTCAACATCTAGATACATTACGGCGAATTAAAAATGTAGAGTAAATAGGAGGAGGAGGGAAAAAGAAAAGTAAGGAGCACTTACTTTCCGTTGAATAGAGCAACTTGAGTGAGAGTAGCTACAACAGCTGCAAAATTCAGGCCATAAGTGACAGCAAAGAACATACTGAGATGTATATGTCCATGTTTCGCGTATGATACCTTGTCTAACTCAAACTTATCATTAACAATAGCTGTGATATTGTATACCTGCCCCTGGGCATTAAATAAATCTGCGGAGAATAGAGGGAAGTTCTTGGCATTGTAAAGGTTCAACCCCCAATAGGAAAATGGAATTAGTATATAGACAATTGCAACATAGCCAACTATGACATTGACAATGGAAAAGAAAGGATAAACTAAAGGGCTACTAAGGTATGATGCTATAGTAGCCCAATCAAAAGTGAAGGAAAAAATTCCAAGGCCATGCATTCCTGAACCAATTTGTTGGGCTAATACTGATTTAGGAAATGCCAAGCAAAGTAATGATAAGCTTGACAATGTTGGGAAGAGAAAACCAGGAACAATGTACCATATAAAACTGCAAGCTAATACAACTAAGAAAAATTTTCCTCTTGAGGATTTCCCTTCTTCTTTCTCATGTAGAGCCCTGCCAAAATTCAAGAGAAATTATACTTGTTACATTATAATAATATTGCAAGCAAATTCAAGAAGCACCAGGTGCTATTCAGGGGTGCTGATTTTTTTGAGAAAATTACCTGAAAAGAGAAACTTGAACCAGACTACTTGGCCACCACATTTCTGCAGGGTCTACCACATATTTCCTCATAATTCCTGCCCAGCCATATCCCAGAACCTGATACACAAACACTATATATGTAAACTTGAGGCGAGAATGTTTGGATGGACTAGTATTATGAAAGAGGACTTCATTGTCTATCCATTAATAGAGCAATTGCACTCATACTTTTCAATGTCCAATTCATCTCTTGTTCTTATAGGAGTATGAAAGAGTTGAAAAGCAATTGACCATGAAGTTCAAGGATTTTCCCACAAATGTAGGAGTAACTAATTCAGGCTTAGCAATTAATTTCATCGATTTAGTTTGCATCGCGTGAAGAGCCATGTTATCTTGTTATTTTTGACTAACTACAATCATGTTTTCCTCATCAAATATATAATTTTGTGACATTCTATTTCTCGTGCAGTCATCTTTGGTTTCTCCCGAGTCCCGGCCGAAGCAAAACAATACTATTACTAGCTAGGTGATTTATTCTTAAACATTGATGGACAAAATACATGCGGACATAATTTTTAGAAATTTGGTACATGCGGAGAATTACTGAGATACTGAGTTGCTGCTTGCAATTTCTTTGAGGAATTTTTGGCTACTTAAAAGTTAATTTAACAAGATCGAAGAGATTATACTAATAAATAAAAAAACCACAATTACCTACCTGGGTGGCGATCACAAGAATCCAGCCAGCCAAAAAGGAGATGTTCCTAAAATAAAAGGCTTTAGTAATATCCACAATTCCAACAGCATAAGCAGGTCCATTCCCAAAAGCCGAGCCAGCATTCGCAAATATAGAAATCAGCACATGTTCTTTCATATTAAACGGCCCTGGATTCAACGTGAATTCCCACGATCTAATCTTAAATTTCCTCGTCGGTAACACCCTAGCCATAATCCGACCAAGCGGCAACGTCGCCACCTGAACAGTAATCATAGTTATGACCAATGGTTCTGCTCTATAACTGAAGAAAGTGTTAAGAAACGAGAGGAGAGCACAAGACAAAAGTCCTAAGAACCACATGCGAAATGTCCAAACAGGAACTGAAGGATCATCGTCGTTTGAGACAGTCAAACGAACTTGTTCGATTGGTGATTCTTCTTCAGCTACAACGTTTTCCGGATCCTTTTCTTGCATGGTCACAGCCATGGAAGAAAAAGAAAAGGGGTTGAATTTCTAGGGTTTAAGTTTTGATTAGCTGCCTTTGATTTTGCTCGTACCAGCTAATCATATATAGGCGGAGACTATATATATATATATATATATATATATTATATATTATATATATATAATAGTTAATGTAGGAGATAAAGAGTTGTACATGCATCAGAAATCTACATTGAATCCAATTGGGATTTACTGAATTGTTCTCTTTTAATAAATGTCAATTTTTATTCCTATATAAATTCGGTGCAAAGATTTTCGAGTAAATTGCGTACTCTAGTGGCAAGATAATATAGGAGAAGGAAAAGAAAGTGAATTACCAAATTCTAGAAAGAATGGGATTGGTTAGAAACAAGAAACAAACCAAAAAGAAAAAAAGATCTAAAGAAACAAGATAAAAAAGAAAAAGGAAATTTTATCTTAATCAGACAGTCTAAATTGAAAAGAATGTCTAATAACAATAACTAGCCAAATTTTATTGCCTTTGGTAGATAATAATTGTAAGAAATAGATTATGGATCCCGACCCTCCCCACTTAGAGTAACAAAGAATAACATTAAGTAACTTATCGCCTTTCTTGGATTTCTAACTTTCTAAAAATACTACATACCTTATACTCCCCCCTTCCACTTTTACTTGTCCAATATTCTAAAAATAAATTTTCACTTTTACTTGTCACTTTTAACATATCAAGAGAAGACAATTTCTTTTTCCTGTTATACCTACAATATTAATTACTCATTTGAAATTATTTTCTCAAATCCATTAAAAATATGCATCAATAAATATGGATATCATACACTTCATTATTATTTTTAAGGGATATGCAAAATTCTTTTTCGACAAGTAAAAGTGAACGGAAGGAGTATAATAAACAACTTACACAAAGAAGAGTTCGTCTAACTATGCTAATTTAAGATACAAAACAATAAATGAGTAAACTAAATAAAATGAGAAAATCCTATATAATAAAATATTACTATTACTTATAATTTTTTTAATTTTTTTTTAAAGTAACTTACATGTTTTAAGTGCAAGATTAATGTCATTACTAAATACATATACATTTTATTAAGAAATTTGTAACCATTTCTCATTTAAGAGTCCTCAAAATACATAAATGCTAATTCTCTTTTTTTACAGACGTGTGAATAAAATTTTGGGAAACTTTTAGAAATGACTATCTTTTAAGGAGCTTTTAATAATTCATAGATATAATTTATGTATTTACGTTTCGCAGCTAATTTTTTGGACAATTTGCTGTATTTGAGTGTATTTGAATACACTGTCAAGCTGTATTCATGTTTCCGCGTGTATTTGAATACAATGTTCGATTGTATCCAACCTTATTTGATGTGGCAAGGTTGAACATTGAATGTATTTACACTAAAAAAAATTATGAAATGAAGAATATAGTCAAATCTTGGACGAAAATACAAAACACTATATTTAAAAAGGAAGAGTACAATCATATCCAGTCGGATCTCCGGCAAAATACAAAAATATCACTGTATTTACACTAAAAAAATGTAGGATACGTTCAAATCATTTCAAAAATTAACTGTATTTAACTTAAAAAAAAAATACAGTCAAATCTACGATGAGAATACAAAATACACTGTATTTACAATTGGAGAACACAATCAAATCCCGTCGAATCTCCGGCGAAAATCCAAAATACACTTTAGATCTCTGAGGAAAATACAAAATACACTGTAGTTATACAACGATTTTCCGACGTGAAAGGCAGTAGAGAAGAAAGAGGCGGCTTCTTTTTCTGACGTGAAAAGTAGTAGCGGAGGAATATGTCTCGACCCGAACCGATGAGCCGCGACGGGCACCCGGTACCTTACTCAACCGAGTACTAACATAACGTATCCTTTCATATCATATTATCATAGATAACTGAGCCGAAAGGCTGCCGTGAGATAAGTAGAATACAACATGCGATACCAACTTATACATAAGACATACGGGCCTATAAGGCCAAAATAACTACACGTATACTGAACATAGGCCGACAAGGCCATACAATCTTTTACGTACATAACATCTGTCTACAAGCCTCTAAGCATACATAATTTTCATAAAGGTCGGGACAGAGTCCCACAATAACAAATAATACACGTCTAAATCATACTAACCAAACAAGCAACTCCGAAACAAATGGAGCGCACCAACATCTTCTGCTGAGCTGATAGCCTACTTGGAAGGCTCTCGACCTGTTTATCTGGACCTGCGGGCATGAAACGCAGCATCCCCAAGAAAAAGGGACATCAGTACGAATAATGTACCGGGTATGTAAGGCACATAAATAAGTACATCACGGACGTNATATATATATATATATATATAACGCCATCTGGTCATGGATCAATGTGTATAAATGCATGAAATGCATATGAAATACGTTAATAAATTCTCTCGGAGTGTCATAAGACCATTATGCCTTTGAATAATATCATGAAGTAAACTTTTTCAACTTACGTATTTCTCTGAGACCCATGAACAGATGATAGAATAATATGACGCATGGAGAATCAAGAACATAAGCATCTCTAGCATTTCTATGAATAGAGTCATTTATGGAAGTTGTGCATTTGCAGGTTTCGTTTGCATCGTATGGATCATGCCAAAAGAAAGAAGGGATAGCCTTAACATACCTGGAGTAGTAGAGAAAAATTCGTGTGATATTCTTGGAAAAGGTTGCACCGCACTCCCTTAGAATTGCAAAATCTCAAGTTGCTAATTGTGCTAAGAAACCTCGTCAGATTTTGGTTAAGAAATCACGTTATCAAAGTAGTAATTCGACTGAAGTATTTTGAGAATGAATTTGATTGAAAGCTTTTTAAAAAATGGCTAACGTTCTCTCTCCCACTTCTGATGGTAGTCCTTGATATGGAAAACATTTGGAATGTAAAACTTTACATTAGTTTTAGATTAGTCTTTGATATGTAAGACTTCACATTAGTTTGTCACCTCATAAGAAATGACTAAGAGTCATTTCTTTAGGGTGTGGCTTGCTGCCACGTGGGGATGGGGTGGGAAGGTTTAATCTTTATCTACTTATTAGGTAATTAGGTAGTGTCCCGTTACCCGGTAATTAGGCTTTATATATATATATATATAGATATATATATATATATATATCATACCATCATGGTCATATGGTACCTTGTATGGTACTAGTCCACAAATATCGGGTATTAATGTTCGGCCCGTATTTTATCCTAACATGCCAAATTTGGACGAAAATTCATTTTCTTTGACTTGCTTCCCCTCTTACCTTCACGAATTTACTCATCACTTTTGGCGCTCGCAGAGTTTGCCTACAACAACAGTTATCAATCGAGCATTCAGATAGCTCCTTATGAGGCGTTGTATGGGAGGCGATGTAGATCTCCGGCTGGATGGTTCGAGCCCGGCGAGGCTAGGTTATTGGGGACAGAGATGGTCCAGGATGCCGTAGAGAAGGTGAAGCTAATTCAGGAGAGGCTTCGTACAGCACAGTCGCGTCAGAAGAGTTATGCGGATCGTAAGGTTCGGGATGTGTCATATATGGTTGGTGAGAAGGTCTTGCTGAAGGTTTCGCCCATGAAGGGTGTTATGCGGTTCGGGAAGAAAGGGAAGCTGAGTCCACGGTTTATTGGACCTTTTGAGGTACTTAGGAGGATTGGGGAGGTGGCTTATGAGCTTGCCTTGCCACCCAGCTTGTCGGGAGTGCATCCGATATTTCATGTATCTATGCTCCGGAAGTATATTAGGGACCCGTCTCATGTATTGGACTTCAGCACTGTTCAGTTGGATGATGATTTGACCTATGATGTGGAGCCAGTGGCTATTTTGGGTCGTCAGGTTCGAAAGTTGAGATCAAAGGATATAGCTTCGGTGAAGGTGCAGCGGAGAGGTCGGCCCGTGGAGGAGGCTACTTGGGAGACCGAGCGAGAGATGCGGAGCAGATATCCTCAACTGTTTGGGACTTCAGGTATGTTTCTTGACCCGCTTGAGGACGAGCGTTTGTTTTAGTTGGGGAGGATGTGATGACCCGGCCCGTCGTCACGTGAGTTACCACCCCGTTTCCCCATTTTCCTGCTTCCTTATGTCTTATTAGAAGGGTCTCGGGTGAATGAGTCGATTTGGATTGGTTTTGGATGGAAATGAGACACTTAGTCTCTTTAAGGAAGGCTTATTTTGGAAAAGTCAACCGGATGTTGACCTATGAGTTAGAGGGCTCGGATGTGATTTCCGGTGATTTGGTTAGCTTCGGGGGTTGATTTGTAACTTAGGAGTGTGATCGAAATTCATTTTAGGAGGCTCGGTGTAGAAATAGGCTTGAATTGGCGAAGTTAGTATTTTGGCGACTTCCGATTGATAGGTGAGATTTTGATCCGAGGGTCGGAATGGAATTCCGAGAGTTGCTGTAGGTTCGTTAGGTGATTTTGGATGTGTGTGCAAAATTTCAGGTCATTCGGAGGTGTTTTGGTCAGGTTTTTAATCAAATGCGTATTTCGGAAGTTTTTGATAAACTTAGGCTTGAATTCGGTGAGAATTTATGATTCTAGCGTTATTAGATGTGTTTTGATGATTGGAGCAAGTTTGGATGATGTTTTAGAATGGGTTGTCACTTTTGGTTGAGGTCCCGGGGGCCTCGGGGTGATTTCGAATGGCCAACGGGGTGAATTTTGGACTTGTGTGATTGCTGATATGCCTGGTATCTGGTATTTCCGCATCTGCGGAAAGGGGGCCGCAGATGCGGTTCCGCAGATGCGGGTAAATGGTCGCAGGTGCGGTTTTGGAGGAGAGAGGCCGCTTCCGCAGGTGCGGGCTTAGAGTCGCATCTGCGGTGATGCAGATGCGGATTGGGCATCGTAGAAGCGAATAGAGGAGTTTGGGGGGTTTCCGCAGGAGCGGTCGGTGGCCCGCAGATGCGGTCACTGCATAAGCGGTATTGGACCGCAGAAGCGGTCCTGGGTGAGTTAGTAAATTCTGCAGAAGCGGAAAAATGACCGCAGAAGCGAAAAGGCCAGGTCAGAGATATTTAATTCCATCTTCGCG